TTGCCCCTGCGCCCCCCCCGCCCCCACCTGCAGAAATCTCAGTAAACTAGGCTGGAAATATAGATACAAAAGACCGCCATTCAGCAATGACTTCAATCTTTTTTTTTTTTTTTAACAGTGATTTGAAAATGTAAAGCACTGCATAAGTGCTAATTATTATTATGAGATACACACATGCCAACAGAAGTAATCAGTCTAACAAAGCACATTCCCCTAATACGGCGCTGCTTCCCACCAGAAAAATCTTATGTCAGAAAATGAAACCAATCTTTCGTTGGCACCTGTGCCTGGTTGAAACTGGTACACCATATTGTGAGTGGGCATTGTGCCACTCTAACAGATGGACAAAATTGTAAGCATGCCAAAGAAACAGAGTACTTGCTTCTTTTTTTTTTTTAAACTAGAAAAATATAGTGTTTCTATACAAAACCAGAAAGGGTTGCTCAGATGGTCCCTCTTTAGGAGTACATTAAGTCTGAAAGATTCAATGAAATACCTATATACCTATTCAATACCTATATAAACCAGAAACAAGCCATGAGGGCTCCTCCATTTAGACTGCTAGACTTAAGTATAAGCATTCCTAGAGCAAAGATGCATATACAAAGTGTTTTACAGCAAGGAATTGACTGATCCTAAATTTATGAGCAGCACACTGATGATACACCTCAACTCTGTCTTCCTAAACGCTAATCCTATTTTGGGAGACCTTAGTTTGCAGTGTCCTAAATCCACAAGTCAATGAAGACAAATTCCTTAGAAGTTAAGGATATTAAGAAAATACTACATTTAGAGTACCAAGCTTAGTCTTACTTTAAACTCAGACTAACAACATCCAAACAATTATTACCAAGTCAGACATTTAGGCATTCGGCATCTCCTTCTTCAAAGCTAACTGAGCAACTTAGAGCTCAGCCAGGTGACAGCTTGGAGCAGTTTAAGAAGTCACCATCTTCAGGTGAAACCCAGTAATTGATTCTGTGAAAGCACCTACTTTTAAAGCCAAAGCAAAGTAAGTTCTGTTGAGCTCCTGCAGGAAGTTTTAATTTTTAATTGAAACAGATCACAAATGCTCATATATTCCATTGATGTGCCTTGCCTGCGGGGACGGTATCTTCCAACTAAACTACTACAAACACTCATCTAACCAAGCTCTAAGATTTCCCTGCTTGTGAATTGCTATGCAAAGGGGGAAGAATTACCTAGTCTTAAAAGGTCACATAAGAATCCAGTTAGAATTAACTTAAGCCTGAGATCTCCTTGTGTGTATCCAAATATACATACTACTGCAGCTCAGCTCAGTGTTTCACTTAGTAATGAAATTACAATAGCAAATGCCATTCCTAAACATATCCAAGCATCTCAGACCCATTACAGATACGCTTCAGTAAAGGGATCACTTATCCCTGAGTTACACCATCTTGGACAAGCAAAATTTTAGCACTAATTCTACAAAAAAAGGTTACTGTTTCTCCTCTTCCCACTAAAAAAATTGTTAGGTTTTCCGTATACAACTATTCCCTCCCAATGTGTTCAAATATGAACAGTAGGGCACACAGTTGAAAAATCAGGGCCCACATGTTTAATAATAGTACATACCTCTTGACCAACTGCAAAATAGCTAACAAATTCCCCATATCTTAACAATGATCTCTTTCACACAGGAGACTTAAACATTTCCAGTCTACAGGAAAACCTCCATAATACAAACCTCCAATATTCACAAAACTCATCACTACAGTCTACTTTGCATGTTTTATTAAATTAGCAATGAACTAGTAGATGATTAATGGGCGACTACACAGAACAGAACAAAACAGAAACACACAACCAGAACAAAGTCATTTTTAGAAGTCATAGCATATGAGCAAACAGTTGATCCCCTATTTAATATCCAGGCCAACATTATTCACATGAAGCAAATATCATGAACTCATAATTTTACATCACTCAGAGATTGCCAATGCAGATGGCAAATACATGCAACTGGATCACTGTCAAGGTTGAAGACAAAGGAAGGCAAAATGAATACTACGGCAGTTTTAAAACACCTTATGAATTCCCAGAGAAGCTGTATTACAATTCAACAAAGTTAATAACCCACAATTCCCTTCAGAACATACCTAAACAGTTGTCAGCTCTTGCTGTCTCCAAAGCCTATGCAGTGGATTTGTCCCCAAAGTTGTGTTTTAAAACCGCAGGACAGAATGAGAACAACAGATTAGTTCCTTGCAAATATAAATGTTATCCTATCAAAGATGGTAACATGAAAAACTGTATATTGGGAAAAAGTAACAGAATTTTAGAACTTCAGTAAGACATAATTATAGCCCACATAGTGTGTTAAATGCTGATACTTCTAAAAAAATTTAATGCTACAGATTCTGGCTAAAAGAAACTGTCTACCCAAAAATCCACCAAAACCACAAGTAAACCACATCAGGAAAACAAGCTGCAGTATATCTTGAGCTTTACAAAAAAACAGTATTTTCCTTTGGAAATTTTCCAGTCTGACACTGATATTTTTCTGATCTCCTGATTGTTTTCAGTATTATATATACTTCCCCACAGTACTCCCAAATCCTCTACAGACATTTTATGAGTCCTTACTTCCAAGCCACAAAAACGTCTTACGTTCATCCACTTAGACGTCAGGTGAAAACAAGCACTAACCAGTCTCTCTTCTGTGACTTTTGTCTCTGCTAGAGAAGGCTTCAAGAACAACAGTTCAACAACTATGTCTACGCTAGTGAAAACCAAACAGATTGCTGGAACTCAACTGTGCACAAATCTCACATTGCCTTGCTGCAAGAATAGTCAGGTTCTTTATGAAAGACTTAGATAACCTATCTGTCCAATAGTAGCACTGGGATGCTGCTGGTGACAAAACAGTGTATGTTACTGAGGACACCGCCATATCAGTAGCACGAACTCAGGCTTTTCAATATTTGTTTTACTCTGAGGCTCACTAAAAGTTCATCATTAAAAGCAAACCAGCATCAAACATGTTTTGGTAACTGTATTCGAAAGACAATACAAATACAGTCCACAAATCCTGAAGGGCTTAGAGTTGTACCCTCTTTTAAGTACTCCAAGAGAGTCACACTACCATGCATCTATTAATAACAATTTAAAAAAAAATAATCCACCCTTAATAGTTCTTCTCCTACTGCTTATAAAAAGCTGGTGACCTAAGTGCTATATACATGCGACAGCCAAATCCAGAAACAAGGACACATGCAGTTGACCTAGGGTTTAGGGTCATGCTTGCCTTTAATGCATAAAAATCTAGCAGGACAAAGGAAATAGGATGTTAGAACAAACTGGTAGATTACACTTTTCTGCAGGATCATCATAAAGCAGCTATATTTGATTAGAAACATAAGCCTCATGCAATGGAATGCGCAGAGGGTTTTTTGGTTTTCTCCCCCTCTTTCTTACTAACAAAGACTATTCCAGAAAGATAAATTACCGTCTTGGTCTGACCTAGAATGTGATGAGATACCAACTCTTAACTTGGACTAGAACTATCAATGTGCACTGGCGGTATCGCAGGCTTTCTGGATCTTGTGGATTTGCCAGCAGAAGGAAAACATTCTGAGAGAAGAAAGCGTATTTTTTCTTTGCTGCACTGGAGACATTGTTTAAGCCTGTTTTTTAAACTCTATGTGCATATTTTTAAAATGCTTGTTCTTTACCTATATTCAGAGTGAGATCAACTTACATTTGGGACTAAGACAGTTTTTGCTGTCTTTGACTCCCTCAATCTATGCAGAATCAAACTCAGCTAAACTCAGATAAAAAGGTCTTTAGTCCTTATTTATCCTATTATTTGTGAATGGCTAGAAGAACTGTTCACAAAAGAAGGAAATTCATACCACCAAAATGGAGGCATCCAAGGGTAAAACTTCATATTTACTTTAATACAACAAAACCACTGAAAAGTCATACTCTACCACAGCCACTTCCCATATTTGGTTACCTTTTCCTAAGCCTTTCATACAAACGTAGAGTCACAGAACAGCCCGGGTTGGAGGGGGCCTCCAAAGATCATCTGGTCCAACCTTTTGTGGGACAGGGAGCCTAGATGAGATTACCTAGTACCCTCTCCAATTGCGTCTTGAAAACCTCCAGTGATGGGGACTTTGCCACGTCTCTGGAGAGGTTGTTCAGTGATTGATTGTTCTCACTGTAAAAAATTTCTTTCTTATATCAGGTGAAACCTCTCCCAGTGCAACTGGTACCCATTGCCCCTTGTCTTCTCCATGTGGCTCCTTGTGAAGAGAGGGCCTCCATTCTCTTTGTAGCTGCCCTTTTCAATACAGACACTACCCTTTCCTATACAGACACTAATGTTCAAACAGCCGCCTGATGGGTTGGACCAACCTCACCTCCCAAAGAAAAAAAATTACAGCAAGGGCAGAAAAGCTGGTTGTGGTGGTTGGTGGGGTTCAGCTAGAGGGATGTATGGGTACAGTGGAGAACAGGACTGCCATTTGGAGGGACCATGACAAGCTGGAGGAATGGGCTGACAGAAGCCTCATGAAAATCAAAGACAGCACCATGCAACAGTCCAGGCTGGGGACTGCCTAGGCAGCAACTCTGCAGAAAAGGATCCGGAGTTCCTGGCTGACAAGTTGAAGACGAGTCAGTAGCATGCCTTTGCAGCAATGAAGAAGGTTAAATGCACGCTGGGCTGTACTAGCTACAGCGTAACCAGCAGGTCAGGGAAAGTGGTTGTTCCTCTCTACTCAGGTCTTATGAGGCCACATCAGGAGTACTGTGTTCAGCATGGTGTCCAACAAAAGAAACACATCAACAACGTGGAAGTCCAGTAAAGAACCACTAAGATGGTTAGGAGGCTGAAGAATATAACATAGGAAAAGAGGCTGAGGCGAACTGGTCATGTGTCACATCCCTCTCCCCCACCATCTTGAAGATTTTTTGCAACCAACCTGGCTAAGGCACCGAGAAATGTGGTTTATGAATCACTCTATGATCTATGACAAAAGGAAGCTAGATTGCTCCATTTTAGCAGACGCCTGCACTTCTGCCCAGTTGAAGTGACAATGGAAATGCACCCTAAGTTACAAGCCTGGTCTTCCTAAGCTTCTACACAACTGAGAAATTCTGGTACCTCTAGAAGATGACTGCAAGTGCCTAAGATAAGCTATTCCTCTGGCCTTCAAAAGGAGTCTGTCTCTTTCCAGTGACTATGCAGGAGGAGCAGGAAGAAAAGGCTTTTAAGTTGCATGCCCAAGTTAGCTGCTTAAGGTGACAAAGTAGGGAAACCTCCTGAAGGTTCAGCCAGTAAAGCCTGAGAATACCGCATACATAATGGACACAAGGTGAAATGCAGCTGTCTTATGAGGCTGGCGATCAAGTTTGTAGGCATACTGGTGGAGACAATCTGAGATTCATCCTAGAGTACTGAAGGAGCTGATGGATGTTATGGTAGGACCTCTCTCAGTCATCTACCAAAGGTCTTGGGAGTCTGGGGAGGTCCCTGCTGACTGGAAGCCAGGCAATGTTATTCTAATCTACAAAGAGGTCATGAGGGAAGACCCAGGGAGCTACAGACCTGTTAGTCTAACCTCAGTTCCTGGAAAAATTATGGAGAAGATTATACTGGGTACTACTGAAAGGCATTTAAAGAACAATGCAATCATCAGGCACAGTCAACATGGGCTCACAAAAGGAAAGTCCTGTTTAACTAATCTGATATCCTTCTATGATAAGGTCACCCGCCCAGTGGATGAAGGGAAGGCGGTGGGCGTAGTTTTTCTGGGTTTTAGTAAGGCTTTTGATACTGTCCCTCACAGCATCCTTCTGGACAAGTTGTCCAACTGTGGGATGAGAGGGTTCACGGTGCACTGGATGAAGAACTGGCTGAAGGGCAGAGCTCAAAGGGTTGTAGTGAATGGGGCTACATCCGGCTGGCGACCGGTCACCAGCGGTGTTCCTCAGGGTTCACTTCTAGGGCCAGTGCTGTTCAATATATTTATCAACGATCTGGATGCAGGAGTTGAATGCACCAT